AATAAAGTTTGAAGGAGATTCAAACAGCCTTTGAAAATGCCTCTCAGTTTATATAATTCATTTGATATTCAAGAGACATAGAGAAATAACCTTCTGAACTGATTAATATTACCCAGGATTTAATATTGAATTGCATTTAGATCCAAGTTTAAATCTATGTGATAACTATATAAAAGCTAAAACTGTAAATATAATTAAAAATAGTGATGGATACTATTTGGAGGGTACTGAATTTACCTTGAAGCAAATATATTGAGTCCCTTTTTGAGAAAAAAACATGACACACAAAATGGTTAAGTGGAAAAAGCTAGTTTAAGATGTCTTGTGACCAGGGGTGGGATTCTACCTGATCAAACCGGTTCTGTAGAACTGGTTGTTACAATTCTGTGCAGTTTGGCGAACCGGGAAATTGCGCCCCTGGCTGGCTTGTCCCCTCCCCGCCCGCTTACTCCTTACCTGGTATGTACGCCATCCAACTTGCCTGCATTTAGTAAGTTGCTATTTTTCCTTTTTCCTTCCTGACCATCAGCTGTTCTGCTCTTCTGGGATATTTAGATTAACTAGAAAGCAGAAAATTGTTGGATTTCTTGGTTTCTAGCTAATCTAAAATCAGAGCTGAATCTTCCTTAGGACTGAAGCTTCTATTTTTCAGTGCAGACTCAGATTGCAGAATGGTAGATCGCTAAGTGAATCTGTGATTCTGTGAGCAACTCAGACTGCGTGCTGCTTTGCCTGATTTTGGGTAAAAGTTGCTCTTTTTATAAAAAAAAATATTTACAGACATGGTATGTTGTGAATAAATTTTGTGAGTTTGCTTGCAAGCAAATTTTATGTGACAGACTCAGGTAGCAGATTGCAGAATGGTAGATCTCTCAGTGAATCAGTGATTCTGCCTGCCTGCTTTGCCTCATTTTGGGTAAAAGTTGCTTTTTTAAAAAAATAAAAAAATTCAATATTTATATATTTATAATATTTACATACAAGCCATGCCCAGCAAATCAGCAAGCCACACCTATCCAGTCACATGACCAGCAAGCCACACCCACAAATTAGGCCAGAACTGATTGTAAAGAAATTTGAATCCACCTTGCTTGTGATTGATCTGCACATGCAGACTATATACGAGCTACAGATGCCAATCTTGTCTGATAGAGCAATTCCAGGCTCTATTTAGTGAACATTTCTTTCAACTGAATATATTTGAATGTATTTGATTTAGTTATTGATTGTTCCCAAGTTCACCTGTAAGATATTCAGACTCATAGCATAACCAAGCTACATAGAGAATTTGATCCCTGCAGAACTAACCAAAGGTCTGATAGGTAGCTTCTATATTGCCTATTGTTTGTTTACCTATAATGAGCCCTCTCTCAAATATCTGGTGGATCAATAACTATTCCAAAATTTAAGAAAGAAGATAAGTTTGATCTAGCTAATTTCAAGTCAATTAAGCTTCTGAGCATTAGTATTCTATATGCAAGGCATCTTTATGTTAAATTTCTTGATTGGTTAATTGAAGAAACCACCAGTTTCAGAAACAAACAATAAGCTTTCACTAAATATCAGAAGCAATTCATCATTTCTCCCAGAAACTACAAATCATTGAGGGAGACTTGGATGTCTTACAAAGAATTATCAGGCGCAGTTATTACAATTCTTAAAGAGATAAGATAATAATTAAGCTAATATAAACAAAATTAGTATCAATCTCTCACAAAAAGTCATCTCTCACAAAAACCAGTAACATTTTAAGGGTTATTTTTAATTATATTGGTGTTTTATCATATGGTTATCAGTTTTTATGCAAAGTTGCTACATCCTTAAGGGATACAACAGTTGAAGCTTTCCCTACCATATCGAAGCTGGAAAAAAGTTCAGCTGTACATTTCTGCCAGTTAAGGCACAAATAAACCAATAAAAATGCTAGTAATACTTTTTGTTTTATAGATATCGAATAGTATGATTACATGTACTTTCATAAGAGTGTAAAATGGATCTTTAATATTATATATTGTGATAATAACATTCAATATTGTGCTAATAATATTCATTCATAATAGAACAAATTGAAAGAAAATGCTACAATTTAGCATTTATATTGCGGATTAAGAGTAAGTACCTATTTGAAGCAGGTTCATCTAGCACTATCAGGTTGGGGATAGTGTTTCCTAAATTTGTATCCCAGATTGAGAATTTGTAGAAGTCTTCTAAATTCTCTGGAGAACAACAGAATGAGAACAGTATTCTACTCAAGACTCAAGTGAAGAATGTAACTTTAAGCTGTTTAAACACTTTAATTATACATGCTTAAGGAATAAATATGCTAGAAATGGAAAATTAACAATTCTGGGACAAAAACTCTCTCCTTTACTGTAGGGTAATCACTTCATGTAATTATTAGTGTAAGGGAGCATTCAAAAGTGGACTTTTCATCAACCTAACAGATATAGATATAGTTCATTCTTTCATTTTTCCATGCCATCACTTTTAGAGTCTTTCTCTACACCTTGATTTCTGAGCAAATGTGACTTTATTGTTTTCTTGGCACTGGTATGGATGTAATTTCCTATTGCTTTTCCTTGGATATTTTTTGAATTTAATAGTCTAGTCTATTATTATAGTTTAGGATTTCCTCTGATTCAAACATTAAAATGACCTATTCTGCTTTTCTTGATATCAACCAGGGTTTGCTCTATGCTGCCACCTGCTAGGACACAATACAAAGAAGACATACAAATTAGTGCAAACATATTTATGCACACTGCCAGCAATGTGTGTTTTTACTGTTTGCTGCTTTGAGACTGTTTCCTATGCATCAACTAAAATCCTTTAGGAATAAATTAACTATATAAAACAACTCTGTATCAACATGAAAACAAAATGATTTTATAAAGGTCTTAGTAATTTTCATGAAACTAAGCATTGTTTTGCATTTTGCATTCCTAAACCTGAATATAGGTGAAAAGAAAGCCATCCTCCATCCCCAAGGCTTTTAAATGCTCAATATACTGTAGAATCCTTTGACGAGTATGAATGAAAAAACAAAGGAGAAAAATATAAAATGGCCAAGGAGGAGACAACCCCTTACTCCTTACTATAAATAATTGGTCATTCAAAGCTAGAGGGCATACACCTTAGAAAATAGGAATTTCTTTGGATTCTTTTCATTGCCTTTATATTCTCAAAATCGTATTTCCATTCTTGACACTTTTATCCAAACAGATCTTGGCAATGTTTGAGTGATTTATTTACCCCAATTCCTGATGACAGCCACCACTTAAGTCCAAGAGTAATGCAGCAGGCAGTAGCAATTGCTTCCCAAGTATAAATGGACAAAGGTGCTTTTTGAAGGCCATCCCTCTGATTTGGCACTCTCTTCTCCTAGTAAACAAGAGAAGGCAGTCTATAGCTGAGAGGAAGATATAGAACTCTTCCCCACTTTGGATATACAATTATTTCTATTGAAAGGCACACAATTTTAATGGGGCACATTAGCTATAATGCCCCTGGCATATGCCTACAGTGCAACTGTGCAACCTCATCCCTTACTTTGATCCAAATCCTCTGAAATTTTTTAATCCACTGCCAGTAAGTATGCCTTTCAACAACCACATTTTAGGCTACGTTTTGTGTTTATTACCATTATTAACAGTTCCCAGTTCACATTTTTATTTTTATTTGTTCACCTATTTTCATGGGTCTTAAACTGGTGGTTTTTGTTTTCTTCTTTAAAAAAGCTGAAACTATGGTGGAAGCCATGTTGTGTTGCCAATTTCATGTTGTGTTGCCAACTTCAACAATCTTTTGTGGCTCAAAGCTTCTTTCTTTCTAATTCTGTATTCATGTGGTGTGGTATTTCTGCATGTGGTATTTCTACATTTACCTTCTGTGCTGGATTAACTGCCAATAAAATTATGCGTGCATATATATTATTTTCTGAGACATCAATGTACAATTTTACATCCAAACAGCATGTACAGATTTCCAGCTAAATACTTTTGCAAACTTATACTTAAAGCAAACATTAATATCTTATATGAATAGAAATTGTCCCCTGAAGTAAGGTTAAGTCAGATTCAACCACATCCTGGATGAGTGGCTTTGCAGCAACATACATTTTAATCACTGAGGGAGCAGTATAAAATGCAAGAATGCTGGTCCCAGTAGTGATGGAAAGAAGTCAATGACTGAGAAACAGATGTTGCTACATTTCCGGATATAGATTCCAAATCCTGAGTTCCAGTGATTGAGAACCAATCCAGTGTTCGATGAAAAACAAGTTTCTATTAAGAAGCAAGCATGAAGGTGCAAAAAGCAGACGAAGGGGAAACGAAAATTGATCTTTATACATTTCTCAGCTAGTCTGCTTAGTTTTTAAAAGCGGGGGAAGGAGCGCGCACGCCCGTTCACACACACACACACACACGACATAGAGAGGGGGGGGGCGAGAGAATGAAGAGACGACAGACAGACAGGTTGCTTGCTTGTTTTTCCTAATTTTCACTGACCTGCACTAAATGGAAATATAATTGAGAGAGATGGCGAAGTACAGTTGAGTTATCAACCACTTTAATTTCATTTCCCGTGCCCCTCAGTACTTCTAGCTCCGGAAAAGTGAACGGGGGCCGTCGCGTCCTAACTATACCGACGAGAAAATCCCAAGGAGTTGAAGCGATTGGCGAGAGAGCGCCGGGAAGGAAGGCGGGGGGAGCAAGCGGATAGGCGATTTTGCGACTGCTATCCAAGCAAGCACCAGCATTCACTAGCCAGGGTGCGTTGGCGGGAGGTGCGCCCTCTCCCTTTCATTCAGCTCCTCCCCCCGTGGTTGTGGCTTTCCCTTCCATCAAAAGCCGGATCAGCAACGCCAGTCTTTTGGTGGGAGGGCGGGAATCCGAAAGAGAAAAAAGAAAAGAAAGAAAGAAAGAGCACCGCGTTTCCCTTTTCTATCAGCTTCAAATACGGCAGAATCGGAAACTTCTGTGGAGTTATTGGCATCTTTTATTATTAAAAATATATACAATTAAAAACAATTAAAACATCTGCAGAGTCCCCATTTCGATTTGCGCTCCGGTTTTTTTGTTGTTGTTGTTGTCAGCGTTGCTTTTGTTTGTTTGTTTTGTTTTCCCCAACCGCTTCCTGGGAAATGGGAAAAGTTACTAGCTGGTACCCAGGGTGGCGTTTCGCTTTGCTCGCCGCTCGGATCTGGCTTTTGATCCTTACTTTTGGCTTTATCGGAGCAGACATCACTTGCCGATCGTGCCGCTGGCAGGTGCGGCTACAGCCGCAGCCACCAGCCCGAGGATTATTAATGAACTTGAGGCCAGCACAAGGAGGCGATGAGGCCGGAGAGATACCTGTGGATAAAAGAGGTGAGAAGCCCGCGGATCGCAACCGAGAAGCGGCGGATGCCGGGAGTCCGATCTCGGCTGCTTCTGCCGGGGAGCAACGTGTCGGGATGGGATCAAAGGGTTGGATGGGATCGAGCAAAGGGACCGGCGAGCTCCCAGAATTTCCCCCGATCCGACTCAGACTATCTCCTCCAGATGTTGAAAGGCCCATCCGCAAAAAGTTAGCCTCGGCTCCCGCTCTGTTTCCAGCAGGGAGTGCAGGGCGTCGGGGGACCAGTTTGGAGCCTGGCCGGAGATCCGGATCGGCGCTCCTGAGCCGGCGGAGAAGAAATAACCGGAACGATCGGAGGAGGCGGTCGAGTCGGAAACCCAGAGGAGCTCCGGCTGAAAGAGACGCGCAGCTGGAGAGCAGGGCACGGGCAGCGCCGGAGCAGCTGCTGGCAAAAGCCACGCGCTTCCGACAGGAAGAACTCAAATTGACAAGTACGACCTTTGCTCTCACTGGAGATTCGGCGCATAACCAAGCCATGGTGCACTGGTCGGGCCACAACAGCAGTGTGAGTAGCCATAACAATTAAGCAACAGACCACAGTGCACAGGGCAGGGAGATGGCGCTCTGGGTCCCAGCAAGCATTAAATCCTTCCCTGCTGTTGCTTTCCAGCAAGATGTAACCTGCTTTCCCTTTCCTCTGTGTTGGAGATGATGGTGGTGGTGGTGATGGTGATGAATGTAACAGCTATTGACCATAACAGCAGCAGTAGTAGTATTGGTTCCTTTGGGAGGAGTTTTCTTCCTCCCCCTTTTTTACAACCTATGTTTGTTGCATCTGAAGTGGTTTTTAAGGGCTTCCTTTTTCCAAGCAGAAAGTTTCTGCTCTGCTCTGTAGTGCCTTGGACAGCATTGACCAAGAGATAATTTTTTTAAAGAAAATCTTTGACTAAGCTAAAGCTTTCTGAGATTATTAGGATATAAGTTTGTGTGACCTAGCGTGGGATAAGCAAAGCAAAAGTAAAAAAAAAAAAAAGCATTTAACATTTCAGTCCAGATATATTTTGTTGTTATCACACAAATGTCAAAATGTAAGGATTAAGAATTTAAGGATAAGCAATGGAAATATAGTAAAGCATCCTGTTAGAAGTTGAAGTTCTCCATCAGCCAAGTAGTGTTTACTGATTGCTATCTGCTCTTATGTTCCTTCCTATTCATTCCTGTTCAGAAGAGATTTATCTTTATTTTCGTCCATAAATAAGCCAATTTTTTCTTTTCCTTTGTACACTTTCAAACTGCAGTATATAAACCACTTTTAGAAAATATATACAGTTGTCTTCCTGGTGCTGGGACACTAGATCAGAAAATGTTTCTCATTTATGTACTGTCACCAGTTCATTATTCCCATAGCTTTCATTTAAAAGCAGATGTCACCCACAATAAAAGATCATTAAGGGTCAGTGCTGATCAGAGGCTTACCTACTGTTACAATCTACTTTAGGCTGCCCCTGATTCTTTCCCATTTCCTCAAAATCCTTAAAAGAACATAGATTTCCAGGTCAAGATTTCCTTTAGCTGTCTCTATTCATTTGGGTGGAAAACCAGAGTTTTTTCTCACCTGTTCTTAGGTTTATCCCTAATAGTTCAAATGTTCTGTATGTCTGGTAATCCAATTCTTACTTTGTAAGCATCTTTATAAAGAGTAACTCCAAGGTGTCCTGTGCTGTTATAATGAAGATCAATCCACATGAATAGTTTAACTGCTTGTTTAACGTTAGTGTTTTGCAGATTGAATCTTGTTTTTTGGAAGAACTTTTTAGGGAAAACTAGGATAACCCAGTCTGGAGCTCTCTATATAAGAGTTAGCCTTCTATGAGAAATTAAAGGGAGACAAATAGAAAAGACACACACACAAAAAGATAAAGTTGACTCTTATTCAGGGATATTTAATTTATTCACAGTCCTCTTTGCTCCTCTCATTTGTCAGTTTGCTTATTATGAAAATGGAGAAGTTAGCTATCTAGCCATTATAAAGTCCCCTTGGTATGAAAGTAAATATTACAAAATATTAATTTTACTGTGATTATTTAGTATTCATATCAATGTCATCATCACTTTTAGAGGAGTTAGACTTCATTGACTAAATTGTAATCTCATAAGCTTTAAAAAACTTTTTAATCAAACCATACAAGCAAAAATCCTGCTTCGCTTGTAGGTTTATAGAACCTTTCTCCTTTCTCCTTTTTACTCATTTTGGCTATCAAATATCTGATACAAATCCATTAAAATCAATCCACCTTGAACTGCAGACTTCTAAAGCTGATAGAACAAGTTTGTCATTGCTTAAACAAGAAATGTCTTCGTATCTTGCAACTTAAAAGTGGAATAAATTCTTGAAGAACCACAGATTATGTATGCGTTTACATTAAAACAAGCTATAATTCTAAGGGTTATTTTTTCTACATTTTGTATTTCTCTTTATTGCTCATTTCCATGGGGGCGGTGGGGGGAAGGAAGTTCTTCAATTAATTTGTGTCTTTAACATATGAAGTGTTTGGAGGTTTTTCTACATACAAGGTATCAATCTTGCATTTTCTAGTCGTATATTTTTTCAATAGCTATTCAGCACAGTGCGTTGGGTGAATAATGAAGAATGGAGAGCTTCAGCCATTCCTTAAATGGTTTCTCAAGGAACAAAATGAAAACAGTGCTGAGTCATTCTGTTTGGCTGAAGAAAAGCCCTTTGTAATACCTACTACAATCTTAAATGATTTTGTTTCTAAAGTGAAAATGACATGCTGTCTACAATTTTTCATGTTAAGATTTTAAAATAAAATTCATTGTTGGCCACTTTCATCTAGGAAATCAGGACAATGTAAAAGGTTTAATTTATGCAACAAAACTAAAATTGAGTTTTGCATCAATTGTTGAGCAGTTGTTTTATGTCTACAACCATAAATTACAAGCTTGGTTCGACAAGTAGCAGACGTCATAGTGACACTAGCAGTGATGCAGTCTTGAATTATTTCCCTTCTTAACATCTGCTTTTTCTTTATATCTTACCAGGTCAGTCCACATTCAAATCCCGTTTACTAGTTGTTCACAGAATATTTGTTGCTTACTTCAACATTTATCCTTTTTAAAATGAAAATAAAGTGTATTTTTTATTTAAAAATCATTTGCATTCTCATTATCCAGACATTTTAAGATACCTTTGGTGCATTGAGCAGAGTGCTTCTGGAAGATATTTTATATTAAAACCAGGATTTGTTTTGATATGTGATTTGATATGTGATACATATGAAAAACTATGGTGGATTAGATTACATTTTTATCTTGCCCAGTGTTGGATTCTCATAATACCCAACCAGCACCTATGAGAAATCAACAAGTGAGACCTGAATACAATAGCACTACTCACTTATGCTTCTCACCAAATAGTTCTTCTAATACAGGATGTCAAATATAGCTGTCATGACTAGTTGTTGTTTTGATTGTTTTGTCCATCATAATTTTTTTAAAGATATGTAGTTGTATAGCCATCACTATATCTTGGTAGTGAAATTGAGAAGCTTATGGTGAACTTCAATACATTTTTATTATCACCGATTAACCATAGCTGTCTATGCGACACATTGGATTAAAGGGGAGATATTTTAATGAAATAATGAGACTTGCAGCTAGTTAGCTTTGGAAATTTCTCTTTAATAGAGAAACAAACATTTATTGAATTTATTGCTTGACAAGTAGTAGAACTGGCTCTAGAGTTTAAAATAAATATTTGACTGACCAAAAGGAACCCAGAGGAATGAAATCCTTTAAAAATCCAAATGTAACTTTCAAAGTTGGTGAATCAAATTTAACTAATCTGTAATTTTTTCGTACTGATATTAGGCAGATTCATGAATGCGTGTGTGAGTATGTTTAGGAAGGATTTCAAAAGTTTCTGTGATAATGTCTATGAATGGATCTTTTTTGGCAATTCTGAAGAATGTTGCATAAATGGTAAATATTAACAGAAACTAGCTATTGTCACTGTCTTCAGAAAGTCTGCTTTTGGAAAACATTATATTTAGAATAGAAGAGAATTCTTTATCAGACACACAGGGAATTTATCTCCGGTGAATAAACTCTCAGTGTGGTAAACTAGTGGTAAAGCCCATTTCAGCTATGAAACTTTGAAAATATCACATCATTCAGAGTAGCCTACCTCGTGTGGAAGAAAGTATGGGTGTGAAATCCTTGGAAGAAAAGTGAAGCCACAAGTGTAATAAAGATATATTGATCAAGTCTTAGATTTAAAATAAGAATGTGAGCTTTTAACTGATATATGTTCAGAATAGAAATAAAAAAAATATGCAATACTAGATCTTCAATTTTCAGCTGTCATGTAGCCATTAAAGACTCACAACTGTCAGAAAAGATAGTAGTAATTATTAAAAGTTACAAAGAAGGATATGAGTATGGTGATTGAATTTGCTTTTCTGTTGGATATTCCATTGCAATTAAATGTTGACATCCAACAGGACATTACAAAGTAGTACCTATTGTTTAATATTTTTCATCAGCAGAAGAGCTATACTTTAGAAATGGTTTCTTTACACTTTTCAGATTCAAGCCTGGCTTTCAGCCTTGTTTGGAATTTTCCATATCTGACATTTATATTTAAGTTGTTCAAATCACTTTGATTAACAAAAGCAGAATGAGACACATTTGTATCATGACAAGGCCCAAACAATGTATTCCCAAAATGATTAAGATATTATTATACTACTGCCAAGGCTTCCTGATGTTCTTCTTAGAAGAACACAGCCAGTACATTTATTGCCTCTTTTGTCACTTCTTCATTTCTCTTGTCCATGTTGTTGACAACCATGTGTTTCAAGGGAAATCCTCTGTCCTGTGGAGTCTAGCCACAAAGGCTTTCAAGCTGATGTCAGCCTTTTGATTTAGACTAAGTTAGAAAATAAAGTGCTTTTGTTGACCCCACATTTCTCAAATATGTAAAAGTCTGCTGGCTTCTGGCATTTATTTTAATTGCAGAGTGGTCAGAAGTTTTGAGTAAATGTTATTTTTTTCATTTTGCAGTAATCTCTCCAACAGTTATGCAGGCTTCCTATGCTTCAATTAAATACCAAAGAAGATGTCATGATAGAATGCCTGCTTGGAGGTCTTTTCCGTTTAGGGAGCCTGGACAATCAGGGAAACTGCAGAATGATGGGGAGATGGGGACATCAACAATCTTTTCTACCTTTCAGTAACAACGTGAACTCAAAATGCCAGCCAAAGGAAATTCTAAAAATATTCTAAAGTACCCTGAGAATAAGCAATTAAAATCGAAGCCTGTTTTGCAAAAGAATATTTGGAAGCTGGATAATGAAATTTTAGCCCTGTATTTCTCTTCTGCAATGGCTGATAGGAACAGCAATGCTAAATAGATTTTTTCATTTGAGGTTGACTCCTGGTGACTATATGGACCATGCAAATCATTCCATGAGAGAATCTGACATGACCAGATAACCTTTTGGATACTTTGAAGCAGGTGCATTTAGCCTATGAGCAATTACT